TTTTGTAAACAAAAGCTGCGCGTCTGCTCAAAAGTGAAAATAATTGATACTGAAAGCCACCACGCTTAATGAATTGCATATCAAAACACGGCACTTCTGGGTGATGAAAATTGCATTGACTTGCGTAACAGAAGTCACCTGTGTTACAAATCAATCATTAACTATGACCTCGATATAACGAACATTTTGGTCGTTTCCCCACAAATTCGTTATATCGAGGTTTTCGATATAACGAACCCTCAATTTAACGAACAAATTTGGCCGGTCCTCAGCGACTTCGTTAAATCGAGGTTCCACTGTATTGAGAAAGTTTCCCACACGGTTTTCTTTCATTTAAAAACCTAATTTCAGTCAGACTCAACAGCCCCGGGGGCGTGGGGGGAGGAAGAGAGTTCCCATATAAAAATGGCTGTGAATGCTCGTCAGCAAACTTGAATTAAATTAATAATACCAATCTGGGTGTGGCTTGAGCTTCATTAGACCCCTAAAAGAAACCACTTAAAACGGAGAATAGGAAATGAATGAATAGGCTCGATTACCAGCCGCTGTTCAGGAAAGGAGCCCGCGCTAGTAGACCGGGCTCGAGAGACCAGCGGAAATCGAGTCCTAAAACGGAAATAAGAGCGAATTTCTTTTATTGTCATCATTTCTTCGAGTGCATCCTAAAAGACACTGACAGCTTAAAATAGTGACGTTTCGTTATGAACACCCTAAGTGAGACTAGAATCCTTGATTTATTACCCCAAACGAGACGACAAACATCCCCGACCTTTTCTTATGGGGGTCTCCCCCCCCCCATCCCCCCACCCCTGGAATCAGCATCCCGACTTAGATATAAACCCAAACGTTGAGTTACCAAATTCCGTCCGATATTAACTCCACCCCACCCCCATTAAACAAATATAAGTCACCGAGGACTTAAATCGGAATTACTAATAAATGAATCTAAGTAACTGTAAGATTATAAGCGCAATAAATATATATTGTGGTCTCTATCAGAAGCAGTGGCTCTTTTTTATTTGAGTCCAGCGAACTAACCAATAGACTGCTTAGCCCACGCATAATTATTGATTAATAATTACGTCTTTAATTTATGCACCGCAGGCAGTAGTGTGAGTGCACGTTTGAAGTCTACTACTATTGTAAAGCATGATACTGTGGGTGAAGTTGTTACTCAAAATGCCAGTTACAGTGTCACACGTTCTATGTGTGTGTGTTTTTAATAGTAAGATAGCCTGATGAATTTTTCCACGCCTATGAGCAATATTTTGTGCCTGGTTTGGACATCTTAAAACTCACGGCTAAGATTGGGCACAAACGAATACGTCCCAGCTTCCGGAAAGACCAGATGAGCTTGGAGAACTGCCACGTGATAATCTGATTTCGATTCGAATCTTGGCAGGCAATGCAAAAAGGTGTATCATTAGAGCCGGTCTTATTGTGTGTGGGAAAAGCAAAAGCCTTGTAATGGGTAGTTGCAGAAACGTGAAATTCATGTAGAAGCAATTGCAGGCAAGGAGCCCTGGGCACATAGAGCTGACATGGAGCGTAGAGCATAGAGAGCAAGGAGCATAGAGCTGAGCATGGCAATTGACAGCTGTTCTGTTAATTTTCAAAAAGCCATAAAGCGACCGCTGCCCTGGCAACTACATGTCTCTGCTAACAATGTCATTGCGACCTTCAAACAGATTTGCCAACTTGAACTGATTGCAATTAACCATCAACTGAGTGTCGCTTTATTATTGTTACCACATTATTCATGTAGAAAAGTCGACCCCAAGCCACAACGCGGTTAGTCGCACAAAAAATCGGCTAGTGTGCGGCAAGTTGATGGCCCGACAAATTGTAACCCGATTTGACCCCGACAAAACATCTGCAGTTCTACGACAAAAAAATGGGCTAGTTGCCGTCGTGGCATTGAGATCGTCCTTGCTCCTAGCAACAGCCTGCCTTGGATAACAATGTGTTTGTAGGTAAATTTTTATTTCGAGCCATGATCGCGTCAGAAATAGAGAAAACAAAATCTATAACCAAACATGACAGTCCACTGTAAGGAACGAACTCTCTATATGTTGGTTGTTTACTGCCTCACCGTTTTATGTTTTTATCTCTTCATCAGCAGCAGAATTACAGGTGAGACTATCCTCTAAGTAAATAATATTTCTAAAAGTAAGTAACATTTTGTAGAGAAGGGCTATCACAAATCGAATTGGAGTGGATTCCAAATTCACGATATGGTCGTAAATTTGTTAACCAGGTGGTTGCAGCCAACAGAAAACAGCCGGTTCGTAAATGACCACGAGCGATCTTTGTAGAGTGAGTGAGATTCTAGTCGCCGCGCGTTGATTGGCGACATTTTGTCTTGCGCCCTGCACGGATTTAGAAAACAAATGGAGATAACTGTTA